GTGACGGGAAACGAAAGCACGGAGTAGAGGAAACTATCTTCCCTTCAAAATAAGAGCTTGGATTTTAGAAAGCACAAATCTGCTTATGAATTATAAAAATTAGTAAGACCACTAAAGTGCAAACAAAATATTTTGGTCCGCGATTAGCGGATTTGCGTTTTAGCGGGCTGGTGCCCACCACTGGGTTTCTGTCTCTGATTTGACCAATTGCTCAGTTTAAATGAGTTACAGGAACGACTCAGAGTTTAAACTCTGGAGATAAATGATCTTTGCTAATGAGGTACACCCCCCGCTCTCTCCCACGTGCAGAAGAAGGAGGGATGGGGATCACGGAAAGGACAGCCAAGCTGAGAATAGCTCTCGCTCTTTCTTCTCTTTTATCTATCACTCCTGCTGCTTCTCCTTCACTCCCGGCCTCCTTTAAGTCGCCTCTCTGCTCCCGTTCCTTTCATCTCCAGCTCATGTTTGTTTGTTTGTATTAAAAAGGCAGAAAAGAAGAGGATTGTTCTGGCTGTGAACCTCTCTGTGGAGAGAAAAAAAAGAATTGGGATTAGTGTGACAGTTTACAGGGACTAATAGGTTGCTTCCTTTTCTTCTGTCAGAGTTCTGAGTGGGTTTGCTTTTCAGTCTGTCGACACTCGTCCCACAGAACAACCTGGAAATTCATTGAGTTTTACTGTCACTATCTAAGGCTGGGAAAAGCATTGGATTTACTGCTGAGCTGCAACAAAAAGAAAACGACAAGCAGAACACAACGTAACAGGAAATTGTACATTACAATATTAGGGCTGAGTGGTATATTTAGTCATTTTACAAAGCGAAGGTTCCAGAGAAGATGCTCTATAAAATCTGAAAGTATCTGTGCAAGAAAAGAATGACCCAGGCTTTGTTTCTGTTTCTATCAATTACAACCAGAAATTGCAGAATCATGGCTTTAATCAGAGTTAAACATTTTTTCTAGACATCTGTTGGTTTATGAAGATTTGAATAATTTATATTTTTATTCTCTTTTGTTGTCAGAATGAGCACCGTTAGCAGATCAGGTTGTTACAAATATCTACTTCCTGTTCCTGTTACTGTTCAGAGGCTCTGATTGGCTGTTTACAGCTCTGTGGAATAAATCAGGTTTTGTTTTGTTTTCATTAATGAATTTGTTGAACTGTTTGAACTGTTTTATTATAAAGCCACACTTGACTGAGAGCAYCATGAAATGTGCAAATGTGTTGTGGGTAAAAGGACAGGAGACATGCATCTGTGTGAATCCCACCCAGTCAAAATTCCTGTGTGTGTGTG